CCTTGGGCGACTGGTTCAGGGTTCAGGAGCCCAAGTAGTGTTCTCATCCCTCCTGCCAGTTGCAATCAATGAGAATGGTAACATCAGAAAAATCACATTAATTAATACCTGGCTCCAGGACTGGTGCCAGCATCAGAATATTGGGGTTTTGACCATGGGTCAGTCCATACAGCACCGGGCCTGCTGGTGGCAGATGAGGTACGCCTATCCCAAAAGGGGAAAGGATTCTAGCCCAGGAGCTATCGGGGCTTATAGAGAGGGCTTTAAACCAGGTTTGAAGTGTTAAAGGGGTAACACAAGGCTTACAGACATGAGCCACAGGGTAGCGTACCACTGTTGGAGTCCAGATCCACAGGGCAACTTAAATGCATTTATGCTGATGTCCACAGCATGGGCAGCAAACAGGAGGAGCTGGAAGCAATTGTGCAGCTGGGAAATCATGACAGTCGCCACCACAGAAATGTGGTGGAATGATTCACATGATTGGAGTGCTGCAGTGGGTGGCTACAGGCTCTTCAGGAGGGATAGGCAAGGAAAAAGAGGCAGTAAGGTTGCATTGTATGTCAGGGAGTGCATTGACTGCCTTGAACTCAATGTTGTGAGTGAGAAGGCTGAATGTCTGGTTGAAGATCGGGGGAAGACCAACCAAACTGATATCCTAGTAGGAGTCTTTTATAGACCACGCAGCCAGGATGAAGCTACAGATGAAGTGTTCTTCAAACAACTGGGAAAAGTTTCAGATCTCATGCCCTTGTCCTCGTGGGGGACTTCAACCTACCAGATGCCTGCTGGAAGTAGAAGACAACAGAGAGGAAACAGTCCAGAAGGTTCTTGGAGGTGTGGAAGATAACTTTCTGACTGTCCTATGTTCAGCTATAGCAGTCATTTTTTATTCTTCTTAGTAGCTGGTGCAGTGCTGTGCTTTTGACTTTCAGCCTGGGAACAACGCTGATAACACCGATGGTTTTAGCTCTTGCTAAGTAATGTTTACTCTGACCAAGGACTTTCTCAGTCTCATGCTCTGCCAGGGACGACGAGAAGCCAGGAGGAAGCAGAGACAGGACACCTGACCCCAACTAGCCAAAGGGGTATTCCATACCACAGCACATCATGCCCAGTATATGAACTGGGGGGAGTCACCCGGAAGGCCCAGATCGCTGCTGGCATCAGACTGGGTATCAGTCAGCAGGTAGTGAGCAATTGTATGTATCCTCTCCCCTTGTTATTTCCGTTATCATTATTATTATAATAATAATGGTGTTGGTAGCAGTAGTGGTTTTGCATTATACCTTAGTTACTGGACTGCTGTCATCTCAACCCATGGGAGTTACATTCCTCCAATTCTCCTCCCCATCCCTCTGGGAGCAGGGGGAGGAAGAGAGGAGGAGTGAGCGAGCGGCTGTGTGGTTCTGAGTTACCCGCTGGGGTTTAACCACAAGCGGGGCACGAAGGGTTGAGATAACAACAGATCTGACCAGAATGTGTCTAATCATATTTGTGATAAGCATTCATTGTTTCACATTACTAGTCACTAGGCACGATGATGATTTATTGGCTCTCAGAGTTGTTGCGCTTGATCTCAGAGTTTCAGCATGTCGTACCTTACTTACGTCCAGTATTAGCTGTTTTAGTGTTTATGGGCTGGGGTGCCTGCGCTGAGGTTATTGTTTCACTGTACTTCATGATAATGACTTGTAATACAATAGACTCGTTGATCATGAAACCGGTCTGGCTTGTGTTCCCAGTGTGGTCATCACCTGTATACTATAGGAGGTATATAATGGAATTTTGTAGAAATTACACATCTTTATTTTTCCTCCTCTTGGGGGGTCAACCTATGGAGGAGATCTTCTCTCACACCCTCCACTCCCCCCAGTAGGTCATTTATAGTAGGACAAGATTCTAGAAAAGTAAAAGATCTTGAATATCCTTTCAATGCTCCTGAAAACATCCTACTCTTTTTGCTGGGAACCAGTCAGTTGCTGCATATGCTGTCTATGTTTTGCCTATGGTGTGACCACCCAGAGAATGCCAGATCTTGTCCGATCTCTGAAGTCAAGCAGGGTCAAGTTTGGGTCTTCTCTAGGGTTAAATGATGATATAGGAGGAACACCAAGAGATTTTCCCCAAGGATGGACAGTCATGAGTGGCAGGGTGTTTGGGGCAGTATAGGCAAGTATCTAGTCCAGTGAACCCCTCTAGTGCTACAGAAGAGTTGGAGATGGAAGGCGGCTGTAGGGAGTCCCCTGTGACAAGCTCCAGAAACTTCTGAAGAAGAGGGTGAATCGAGTCAGTTTGCAGAGGTGAAAGTCATCCAGCTGGCCTTGGACATTGCTGAACGAGAAAAATGGCCAGCACTTTATCTCTGTACTGACTCACGGATGGTGGCAAATGCCCTGTGGGGGTGGTTGCAGCAATGGAAGCAGAGCAACTGGTAACATAGAGGTAAACCCATCTGGGCTGCTGCACTGGTGCAGAACCTGGTGGTGAAGGTACACCACGTAGATGCTCATGTTCCCAAGAGTCGGGCCACTGAGGAACACCAGAACAACCAACAAGTGGATAAAGCTGCTAAGATTGAAGGTGGCTCAGATGGACTTAGATTGGCAACATAAGGGTGAATTTTTCACCCAATGGGCCCATGACACCTCAGGCCATCAAGGCAGAGAGGCAACATATAGATGGGCTTGTGATCGAGGGGTGGACTTAACAATGGACACTATTGCCCAGGTTATTCATGAATGTGAAGGATGTGCTGCAATTAAGCAACCAAGCGCTTAAAGCCTCTCTGGTATGGAGGACAATGACTGAAGTACAAGTATGGGGAGGCCTGGCAGGTTGACTATATCACACTCCCACCAAGCTGCGAAGGCAAGTGCAATGTGCTTACCATGGTGGAAGCAACCACCAGATGGCTGGAAACATACGCTGTGCCCCACGCCACTGCCCAGAACACTATCCTGGGCCTTGAGAAACAAGTCTTGTGGCGACACGGCACCCCAGAGAGAATTGAGTCAGACAATGGGACTCATTTC